GCCACCACTGCCTGGCCTGAATTGGATTTTTCTAAACAAATGAATGTCTTGAAAAAGAGGATGGCATAGTAGACAAGAAACCAAACAGTAAGTTGAGAAACTCTAGTTCAAGTGCTTAGTTCATAGTCAGTTCACACTTAGCCAGCTGTTTGTCCTTGGGTATATTGTTTAACTAAGAACACTGTTCTCTGTGTTTACTTCTCTAGCATAAAGAACAATATAGATTTCAAATCAATTATGACTTTAATGTTTGTAAGTCAAGAATGTCTCAAATTCTCATAGTGCCACTTTTCATGCCCAGAAGTGTTTATAGAAATTCTTTATTGAACCATGTGATTTGGAAAACACCCTTGAACAATTCTCCCTTTATTCTTGTCTCTTAGTAAGCCATGGGACTTGAGTAGATCCAAGGCACCTCCCTCATATCCACTGTTAGCCTCCCAGACCTCCCCAGATTTTAGCCACTTTAACATTTAACTCTTCTACTAAAGCTGTAGTCATTTTGAGAATAATATAGTTTATCTTCTAAAATTTGCTATACATTGAGTTATGGTGCAATTTGTTTAAAGCAGCAGTATTGAACCCTTACTGTGTATGATACACTTCAAAGAACCTTAAATACACATATTGCATAATATACAATTTAATTTCAGCACTTTGAAGGCAGAGGCTGGTGGATGTCTATAAATCAAAGCCAGGAAGGCCTACTACATAGTGAGATTGTCTCAGAACAAACAGAACAAAACAAAACAAAACAAAACAAAACATAAAAGGGTCCTTAAGTATAGTCCTTCTCCAGTGCTGAGAAAAGGAAGGATATAAGATTAAATAGCGATATCTCTCTCTCTCTCTCTCTCTCTCTCTCTCTCTCTCTCTCTCTCTCTCTCTCTCTCTGCCTCTCTCTCTCTCTCTCCCTCTCCCTCTATCTCTATCTCTCGCACACACGCACAAAAAAAAATTAGAAGTGCTTTAGTAGTTATTTTATAATTTCCAGGGATCTAGCTGTAATTTCTCTGCTTACAGTATTGCTGAAACTTTGAATCCCTTTCTCCCCTCCTTCCCTGTGCTGTTGGTGGCGGTGACCGCTGTGAAGAAGAGAAGCCACTTCCCACTGACATCGAGAGCACAAGGACAAGACAGTTCTGTACCTTTAAGTTGTTAAGTGTTAACGCTCCTGACCTTTTCTATAATAAGCAGATAGCGTCAAGGTGACTTTTAGAGTGGTTCAACCTCATGGTGGAATAACATTGTTTGCACATTCAACTTGTGTAAATGAGATCATACCAACCATAAAAAAATGCAGAAAGGAAATACATGAGACAGGAATAGCAATTTAAATGGTGTGTATTTACTCTCCTATTTCTGTAAATCCCAAGACAGCAGAATAAATTAATATGAAATAATCAATTCAGATTGGTAAAAGCTAAAGAAATCATGGCAGGATAGTGTTGAAGAATTCCCAGTTACTAACAAAACCTGTTCTGGTGGGTAAGCATATAGGAGAGCTTTGTTTGCAGAAGTTAATGAAGGTGGCTGAGAAGAAATATTTAAGAATTAGAGAAAACTGTCAGGCCTGTTGGTACAAATCTGTAGTCCCAGATACTTTAGAAGCCTGAGGCAGGAGGATCACAATTCAAGGCCAGCCTGGAAACTTAGAATTTATCTGAATGGCTCAGTGGTTAAGAGCACTGTCTGCTCTTCCAGAGGATCTGGATTCAATTCCCAGAACCCACATGGCAGCCCACAACTGTCTGTAACTCCAGTTCCAGGGGACCTGACACCCTCACACAGACATACATACAAGTAACAATGCACATAAAGTAAAAATTTAAAAAGTTAAAAAAAATCTTATCTCAAAAAGTAAAGAGCCAGGGATGAACTGAGCTCAGCACCTGGAATAATAGCCCAGAGGGTGCAAAACAAACCAGCAACACACCTGTAGCCCCAGCTGTTTAAGGGGCTCACCTGAGGACATCATCACAAGATCCCTGTGTCTGATTTACAAAGTGAGTGTGTGTGTGTGTGTGTGTGTGTGTGTATTTATTAGGGTGGGCAAGATGCTCTTTAAAAGTCTAGTGATGAGAGTTAGATCCTGAGAACCCCACAGGTAGAGAAGAAAAGAAGTGACTAGATCTACAGTGCTGCTTTGACCTCCACATATGCAGCCCCCATCCTGCCATGTACGATGATAGAAACAATAAATAAAAGTTAAAAAGGAAGCTGGCAGTAGTGATGCACTCCTTTAATCTCAGCACTAAGGAAGCAGAGGCAGGCAGAGCTTGGGGCCAGCCTGGTCTACAGAGTGAGTTCTAGGACAGCCAGGGCTGCATGGAGAAGATCTTTCTTGAAAAATGGGAAGAGAAAGAAAGAAAGAAAGAAAGAAAGAAAGAAAGAAAGAAAGAAAGAAAGAAAGAAAGAAAGAAAAAGGAAGAAAGGAAGAAAGGAAGGAAAGAAAGAGAAAGAACTGACAAGCTTCCTGTAAAGAATAACATGACAGGCTGGGAGAGGTGGTGGCTCAGGAGTTAGGAGTGCTTAGTGATTTAGCCGAAGATCCAGGTTTGGTTCCCAGCATCCAGATAGCAGCTCACAGATGTTCAGTTCCAGGGCATCTGGTGAGTTTTTTTAAACCTCGGCAGCTCCTGTACACATGTAGTGCATATGTATACATTTAAAACAAAACAAAAACCATTACAACATTATTTCCAGCACTCAGAGAAAAGCAGAGTTCTAGGCCAGGCAAAGATACATTGTGAGACTCTATCTAGTCAAAATAAAAAAATAAAAAGATTAACAGTAAAAACTAGGTTGAAATTTTGGTAAATTTACTGTGCATTCAAAGAAGTAAAATGCTTGAATAATTAAATTTCTGTGTCATTTTTGTGAATTTTTTGGTGGTTATTTTTACTGCATTCTTTTCCCGCCTTCCATTCTGTCTTCTAAGTAAGATGCTACCCCATTAAGTGGTAATTGCACTGATTTTGTTTTAGTAACTAATTAGTACTTTAGGATTGCTACTATGTAAGATGCCATAATTGATACAACTGCTTTTTTTTTTTAAGATAATTTTAATTGAATCTAGCATGTGAAATACATTGTCTTCTGTGCCCATACAGGTGAACATGATTAAAGACGATGGAACAGTTATTCATTTCAATAATCCCAAAGTCCAAGCTTCCCTCTCCGCTAACACCTTTGCAATTACTGGTCATGCAGAAGCCAAACCAATCACAGAAATGCTTCCTGGAATATTAAGTCAGCTTGGTGCAGACAGCTTGACGAGCCTTAGAAAGTTAGCTGAGCAGTTCCCACGACAAGGTACGTGTTTCAGTTCAGTACCTTTCCCTCTCCTCTGCTGTTATTGAGAATAATTTTAAAAGCATCCCATCTGGAACTAGGGCCGTAGCTCAGTTGACAGACCCCTAACATAGTATGCATAACGTTCTGGTTCAATCCCCACCAGTACTGGGTATGATGGCACACACTTGTATTTCCAGCAGAAGTTGAGGGTTATCCTCAGCTATATAGGGAAATTGAGGTCAGTCTGTACCAGAGACTGTTTAAAAAAAACAAACAAAAGGTGTTTTACTTAAACTGAGAGGATTTTCCTCAGTAGGTAATTCTTTTAGTTTTTATAATGCCATTTGTGTGCTTCATAAAACTTGTAGTTTTCTTTTTTTAATTAATGAAGTATGGCCGGGCGGTGGTGGCGCACGCCTTTAATCCCAGCACTTGGGAGGCAGAGGCAGGTGGATTTCTGAGTTTGAGACCAGCCTGGTCTACAGAGTGAGTTCCAGGACAGCCAGGGCTACACAGAGAAACCCTGTCTCGAAAAACCAAAAAAAACAAAAAAAAAAATTAATGAAGTGTGTCTTACAGAATATTCAGATATAGTATTGTCAGTTGCTACTATGCTTCTATGATTACCATCATAAATTTGGTAATCATCAATTCTGAATTTTCAGGTTGGTTTTGATTTCATGCATGTCTTATTGCCTCTAATCATCAAAGAGCCTTGTATTTTAGTAGTCATGGTTGTACTGCATAGCTGGATACTTAGATCAGAATAAGTGGTAAAGAAGTCTCAAATATTTTTTTAGTTGGAAAATAATAAAGGGTACCAAAGGAGAATACCTTTATTCAGGCTTGTCAAATTCTACATTTTGCATGTAACTTTTACGTTTACTGCACATTGGAATTACCAGCTGTAGTTTATATATTTAATTCAAGTTAAAATGTTATTGTTTGGGCTGGTGAGATGGCTCAGCGGTTAAGAGCACTGACTGCTCTTCTAGAGGTCATGAGTTCAAATCCCAGCAACCACATGGTGGCTCACAACCATCTGCAATGAGATCTGATGCCCTCATATGGGTGTCTGAAGACAGCGACAGTGTACTTACAAATAATAAATAAAAAAAAAAAAAAAAAATGTTATTGTTTTTAGTGTTGGTTAAGCAAAAAAATAGAAGTGAATTTTATATTGGCTGTATTCAACAGCCATATGAGATTTAGACAAAGAGAAGATAAATTAGAGGTGTTTTGTGAAGCTCTTTGTTCTCAGTGACTAATATTCAAATAAACTTTTTGTAGTATTGGATAGTAAAGCACCCAAACCAGAAGACATTGATGAAGAGGATGATGATGTTCCAGGTAAAGGACATTTTCTCAGTGTTAACATTTGTCTCAGACTAGTGGGACTGTTCTAGTAAAGATGCTTGGTGCCAAGTCTGACAACTTGACCCTGGGACCCATGCAGTAGGAGAGAACCAGCAACTCAAGTTGTCCTCTGACCTATACATGCACATGCACACATATATACACAAATGGAACACACATATAAAATATGGTGTAATTTTTAAAACTAAGAAAAAATGATTTATCTTCTTTCACTTACTGCATAGATGACTTTCAGAATTTTTTTTTTTTTTTGACTGAATTTCAGTTGATTTAGAGTGAGATGGATAGTGACAGGTTTCTAGCTAGGTATTAGCTGGTATAGGAAACCCTGGAGATGGACCCTAATCAGTCTATAAAACCAAGGACTGGAACTTCAGGTCAGAAAAATGTCCCTTAAGTCCTATCTGTGCCATTACATAATACAATCTAAACCTGCTTCTAGGAATGCTAAACCTTATAAAGATTACTGTATAGCAGAGGCTGTCTGATAAAATAACAAAGACACACTAATGCTTTCTATTTGTGTCAAACTAAACAGGCCTATCACTCACCTGAACAGAATAAAGACCCTCAAGAAAAGCTGTATGTTCTGGGGACTTGAGAAATGGTAGACCACCTGCCTAATATGCAGAATGGGTCACACTTACCCCTTGAGTGTATGCTCTACTTTACTGCAAATGTATTTGCCTGTCTTTTATGTTCTTTCTTTGTATTTTATCTAAAATCTTTAGACAGACATTACAAAGACCAGGGAATCCAGACTGAGATCCCCATGATAGGATATACATGAATTCAGAAGTCCCTTCTTCATTCAGAACTTAGGATCAGAAAATATTCCACAAAACTCTGTTGCCTGCATGTATTAAATTGAAATCACTATGAGTGTCAGTATATATTGTTACTGCTTAAAGTTTTTGTTGGGGAGCTAGAGAAATGACTCAGCAATTAAGAGCACTGGCTTCTTTTCCAGAGGACCTGGATTCAGTTTCCAGCATTCATATGATGGCTCACAGCCTTCTGTAATACCAGTTCCAGGGGATCCAGCACCCTCTCTTGGTCTCGAGAACTGCATGCTCATACACTGCTCAAGCACAACACTTATACACATAAAATAATAAAATAATTTTTAAAAATTGTTGGCATTATAACTGACATAAAGTATTATTTGTTATTTTTGCATACATTTTTAAAAGCCATTTCCTTAAGATTGTTGTTTTATAAAAGTCATTATTACTGAAATGCACTAGTTGTCATCTTTTCTACTTTTTGACTAATTGTAATTGCAACTATTTTGACTCATTTGTATTTTACTCATTTTTTTCCTTTCTTCTTTTTGTCAGATCTTGTAGAAAATTTTGATGAAGCATCGAAAAATGAAGCTAACTAAAATCCTCTGGGTTTTGGAAGCTGGCATGGACTAGATTTAACAATCAGCTTTGTTGTTCCAAAGTTTTACAGACATGGAGAACATCACTTGTTATTAGTTCAGTAATATAAATATTTTGTATATTAATGATGCTGTTTGCTCAGCATTTCTCGGTCATTTGATTTTGCATTTTGCACTTCTTCCCAGGATCTATTCTTTTGGTCAAAATATGAAGTATTGGTACGGTTTGAGGGTGTTTTTTGTTTTTTTGGTGGGGGGGAACTTTTGGTGTGTATGTATATGTATGTGTGTGAGTATGTGTGTACACAGTGGACAGCAGATTGGATAACAGTTATATCTATCCTATTCCTTCCCCCCAATAGAAATAAAGCAAATCTTTACATTTGTTACTTTTTTTTTTTCTAACAAACACTGCACATAATTGATGAAAAGTGAGTATCTCTGATTTCAGAGCTGAGGAGATTCCTTCCGTTAGACGTTTGGTGTTAATTTGTTGAATTAACTTCAATATTTTTATGTATTTCTCTGGGTTTAAAATGTCCTGAAATATTTTGCCACAAGATTGCTGCCGGAGTCACAAGTCAGGCACCTTTGGTGCGGCTACCTTAGACTCACTTCCCTAATCAGACCCATAAAATGTCATTTTTTAGCTTTCTTCTTGGTGCCCTGCCTCCCTGCATATTGGTCTTTAAATGGACTGGTCAGCCTTTGATATTACTCTTCTGCCTAGCTTGAGACAGAAGTTGTCCATATAGAATTGAGAGCGTGCCTAATTCTTCTTTCTGTTCCTCACCTCGAGGAACAGCGCCATCTTCAATGTTATATTTCCCTTCACATTTGTCGTTAGTAGAGTTCAAACTGGACTTGCTAGCATGTGCTTGCTAAATAACTTTATACTCGGCTTATCCTGTTTCCTAGTGTTCTTGGTAGCAGGTACAGGAGTGCCTCTTTTTCAGTAAGGTTGAAGCTGGGAATGTCCTTTTGAATGAAAAGAACAGTAGGCCATATTATCTCCTAGCACAAATAGGCATTCTCTGAAATGGCACTGGCCACAGGAGAATTTCTTCAGGCACTTTCCTATTCTTGGGCTTGAACTTACCTCTGAGTAGATCTAATTGACTGTAGCTGCTCTTAACACTCTCCTGCATGCTTAGAGTAATGCTTTGGGGGAACAGTGGTAAAACGCAGTATTTATTTGTTTACCTTCTTTCAGAGAACTTGGAGGTAAGTTATATCCATTCACTCAGGTTTTCCTCTTGCTGTTCTGAAAAAAGCTTGTGTTTTGACATATCAGCATTTATTATAGCCAATATTTTACGATAAGGTTTAAAGAATCTGTTGTTTTCTGGCCCATCACCAAACTAACTGCAGCTTAACCTTGAGCATGTCAGCTTTTGTTTCAAGCTAGCTATCTTTCCTTAATACTTAAGATGCAAGACCAACAGTACATTGAGAGATCTACAGACATGAAGCCAAGTCTCCTGTATTTTTTTTTTTCATCCAAACATTTTCAATTTATTTTATAAATTTGTTGATTTTTTTTCCTGTTATGTTTTATATAATATATGGACGTAACAAAATAAATAGCAGTAATAAAATAACAGTACAAAAGAGGAGATTATTTCCTCTAGTGCTTCTGTTAATTGTTGTCTACAGTTCCTTTTTTTCTATTTCTCCTCTACTCTCCATACTCAAATGAATTCTCATGTAGTCACTGTTTAAACTAATCTCATCCATTGTTAGGTCAATATCTGTAGCTGGTCCACTTACTCCAGAATTTTGTTGCTTTGCCTGTCCAAAGACACATATGATGAACCAGAGAACAGCAGGCAGTGTTGTAGATGAAAAGAAGGGAGCATATCTAGAACTGAGAAAATTGGTGTTCTGGTCCAGATTCTGGCATTATGTTGCCTTGTCTATCCACATGACCCAGCTACTATAAATTTCATCATCAATCCAGTAAGATATTTCTGAGTGTAAACTTTGTTCTGCTCATACAGTTCTGTGAATCTCACTTGGGAATTCTCAAGAAGAGATTTCGTCATCTATTTAAGGATGTTGTTTTTATTAGTACTAATAAACTTTATATACATATATCCCTTTGCATTTTGATCACATTTTAGCCTCTGAGAGTAATTCTGGTCAGTATCCCCTTATATCCTACTGTCAGCCGCTCTCTGTTCTGGTCTTCCTTTTGTATGAAGGATGTGTGGAGAGGTGGCTCAGTGGTTAAGGGTGCACTGCCCTTGTAGAAGCTCCAGCACCAGCCTCAGGGGGTTTACAACTGCCTGCAACTCGAGCTCCAGGCGTCTGACATGCTCTTCTGGCTTCCTTGGTAACTTCACTTCACACACACCTTTTGTAATAAAATTAAAAGAAACAATATTATTTTGTCTCATTTCTATATTTTCCCTTTTCTGAACAAAAATATATTGAAATGCTCAAAAAAATTATGTTTTCAACGTGGGTAGGCATAGAATAAAGGTAAAAATATGGGTGATACTTTAGTAAACTATATAGCTCTTGGCATAAGCATGAACTAGTTATATTTATAAATATATATGTTTGTGTATGTGTAGTTGCTAAATAAATGCTTTGGGGTTTTGTTGAGACAGGGTTTGTATAGCCTTGGCTGTTATGTAATTCACTCTGTAGACTAGGCTGTTATCAGACTCACAGAGATCTGCCTCTGCTCCCTGAGCACTGGCATTAAAGATGTGTGCCACCACTGCCTGACTTAAATATAGGCTTTTTTTTTTTAAAAGATTTATTTATTTTATGTATGTGAGTACACTGTTGCTATCTTCAGACACACCAGAAGAGGGCATCAGGTCCCATTACAGATAGTTGTGAGCCACCATGTGGTTGCTGGGAGTTGAACTCAGGACCTCTGGAAGGGCAGTCAGTACTCTTAACCACTGAGCCATCTCTCCAGCCCCAAATATAGGCTTTTAAAAATAAAGGCTAGATATGAGTTTCCTAGGGATATAGTCTTTTAAATTTTAAGAATAATTCAGGGAAATATAAAAGAGAAGGAGAAAGGGACAAACAGTACAGACTGCAGGAAGTTGGTGTGCAGCCTGCTTTGTTTTGTTTTCAGACAGGTTGCACTGTGTAGTCCTGGCTGGTCTGGAAGTCAGTTTGTAACTAGGCTGGCTTTAAATTCAGAGTTGTGCCTCCTGAATGCTGGAACTAAAGGCATACACTACCACACCTGATGAAGCATGTATGATTAGGTTTAGGTTTTTTTGGTTTGGTTTGGTTTTTGGTTTTTCGAGACAGGGTTTCTCTTTGTAGCTCGGGCTGTCCTGGAACTCTGTAGACCAGGCTAGCCTCCAACTCAGAATTCCACCTGCTTCTGCCTCCCAAGTGCTGGGATTAAAGGCGTGCGCCACCACTGCCTGGCTATGATTAGTATTTTTTAAGCATCTCATTTATCTATTTGGCAGACACTTAGATAGCTGGACCCTTACCTTTATTTATATTATTTTTCCTATCAGATGGCAATTTAAGAACCAAGTACCTTAATTTATTGTTAAGTAATGAGTGCTTATAGTATTCCATTACATTCATTTCAAGAAGCCTATAACACTAACAAACCTATATATGGAATATATCTGATTGTTTTGTTATAATTCAGTGTTTAACTCAAGTATCCTGTGTACCCATAAAATTACATCACAACAAGAGATAGTATGCTAGAATAGGGAAAGATAGGTTTAAAATAATCTTTCACAGAGATGCTGAAGAGGACAACTCCAAGAGCCATGGTTCATGTTGCTATAGACAGAGTACCATTTCTGAGCTACAGTATGAATTATGCCCTGCTCATCGTGATCTCTAAGCCTCTGTTTTCTCTGTAAAGAGTTTTAAGATTTAAGCAGAGGTCTTAGAATCTGCCTGAGTGAGGTAAAGATGGATGATTAATGTGTATTATCTTCCAAACCATGGCAGAAAGTTACTTCCTAGGCTGTTAATTAGGCAGAACAAGGTTCTATTCTACATTATTCTCAGCTGTTATTGGTTGCCTTGACACACAATTTGCCTGGGTTAATACAGCCTCTTTAGTATCTTTTGTGATTAATTTCCCCTACTATTCTACTCAGCAGCCAAGCTACCTAAACTTCCTGAGTATGTCACCCCCACATTCATCTTCAGCATACCATATTGTTACTACAAAACAGTGTCAAGATTATTTTTATGTATTGTTATCCAGATTATAACATATTGATAGATGTTATGTTGTACATCCTTTGTCTCCAACATCCAACATAGTACCCAACATTTACTGAAGAGCATAAAACTAACATATACCCACTACAAAATTATCTCATTTAATTCTCAGTTTAGTAGTCAGATATTGTCTGTTTTAATGGGGGAACTAAAGAATACAGGAGTTACCAAAGGTCAAACTAATTTGTAGAACTAATGTAGATCTTATGTAGACATTAAATTCCAGACTCCAACTCCTTAACACCATCCCCTATTCTCTAAAAACTTTGTCTATTTGAAATACTGGAGATTGAACCTAGGGCCTCATGCATGCTATTTAAGGCCTCTACTATTGACCTTATCCTTAGCCTCTGCCCTGCCCAAAGTGTACTGAAATGAAAACTGTGAATATAGCCTTTAGTCAGATACCAAGTTCAAATTACCTAGTTTTAGCCTGTAGGACAAACTTAAGGATTGCTCAGGATGTAATTTTAAATATATTTTTATTTTATCTGTTTGGATGTTTTACCTGCATAGATGTCTGTATGCCCCATGTGTGCAGTACCCACAGAGGTCAGAAGAGAGGGTGAGAATCTAGGGAATTGGAGTGAGGATGGTTGTGAGCTGCTGGTGGGGTACTGGGAACAGAACTTAGAGCTGCAAGAGCAAGTGCTTCAATGGTAAGCTCCCTCTCCAGACTGATTTTCTTTTTAAAGAAATGTTTAATAGATGGATCATCCAGGAGTTGGTAAGTGTGTCCTACCACAAGCATAGTTGTCACAGGTGACTGTAAGAGAAGCCTTGACATCAAGCCATTCTCCAGGCCATGGTTTTGAGACCCTTGTGTTGGTACTCTGAGCAGATAGCTAAGCACCAAGTCCTATCTCCATGGTGTCACAAGTGCTAGAAAATAGCATATAAGTTTTTTTTTAAGTATTCCAGATGAAAACAATCTTTATGTGTTCTAAACAAGATATGTTTCCAGTATATTGGCAAGTCCAGCTCATATCCACAGGACTTAGACCTAGATAAGGGTTTAGGATATAGCTCAGTGGTAAAGTGCACACAGCATAAGTCTGTGATGCCCTTGGTTTAATCCAAAGTAAGCATGCCTAACTGTGCATATACTATGCTTAAGAGTATTACTTCACCTCAGCCATAGATGATCAAACC